TGCTGATGTTTCTGATGTTTGAAGTGTTGTTGCTGATGTTTCTGATGCTTGAAGTGTTGTTGCTGATGTTTCTGATGTTTGGAGTGTTGTTGCTGATGTTTCTTGTGTGGATAGGCTTCCCGAGTATTGAACAAGCGGTGCCTGTTGCATTTGTTCTGAGGTAAGTCCCACTGTATTACACAAATCTGTTGAACAGCAAACGACTTTCAGTTCACTATACGTTGAACATGGAAATTGTATGGGTACTGTAAAAGTCGGAACAGTAGTGTCAAGTGTCGATATATTAACGAATGTTATGTTAGAAATGTTAAATGTAATCGTTGGAATGGTAAAATCTGTTGTGTTGATAGTTGGGATTTCGACCGTTGACGTTAGCGTCGGGAAGGTTGGAGTGGAGATTTCAAATGTTGACAGGTTAAATTCCATTGTAGGTGTACTCTGCTCAAACGTTGGTATCTGAGGTGTTGTTATTGAAAAATTTACTTCAATTGATGGTACACTTGGTTGAATGGTAGGCGTATATGCGGTAACTGTCGGAATAGATGGTTCAATTGTTGGCACGCTGAAATTGATCGTTGGCATGGTTATCTAAAATAGATTTGAGTTCTTATTGAGAATATATCCATTTGTATTCGAAACAGATCAATTATCGAAGAAAATCCTACAGGTACAATTCAAAATCTGTTAGTATTATTATTCGAGAACTAAAACCGATTGTCAAAAAATATCCAAGCCAAAACTATTTTAGATTCTACTGAAAATTTCACTCTACGGTTAGGTTCTATTTTAAAAAAAAAAGAAAAGACATTATTTTATCTGAATAAAATATGCTCTCTTAAAAAAAACAGAGTCCTGTGAGTTCAATGTGAAGAAGAAAACTCGAAATACAAACCGTACCATTCTTTAACAACCGCTGTATTTTATTACCATTCAATCTTACCTCAACAGTTGATATGTTTATAGGATATGTTGACGGCATGGTAAATGAAATTGTGGGTGTAGTAAATTCAATTGTTGGTATAGTCGGTTCAATTGTAGGCATTGTCAAATTACACTTCTCGTAAAAGTTCGAGTAAATACTGGCGTACGTGTCTTTCAAATTCTGACATAATGATGTAGAAGTAAAAGTGAACACTAATTTCCACAATCCGCTCTTCTGTTCGTCTGGCGTACAGAGACTGTCGTTCACAGAACATGGCAAAACATAACTCACACAGATACAGCTGTCAGGTGCGCACAAGCTATCCGATAATGCTGCTTTAACTAAGACGAAACCAGTAGAATTAGATACCAAATGGTAGCATTGAAGGCCATGAATGAGTGGACTGTTATAAATGAAAAACATGAGGAGCGCAATAATAACCATAGTTATGGACGAATAAAAATGATGTAAATGAAAACAGTACGAAGTAGCTATGTGCATTTGAGTAAGGTGGTCAATCATGCGTATTATTTGTTTTTCTTACCTTCGATTAATGTAACTTCACTACATTTATAAGTTACCTACACATGTGCACGTGTAGTGCTTGCTTCGATTGATACGTTTGATTTGCATAAAATAGATCGTAGTATGATTGCATTATAGACGCCCTTTGAATCATATTTATAATTATAGTCAACGTTCGTCACGTAGAATAGTCAACAGAACAATAGTTGCGTCGCAATAGATAAAACAATATCTGATATAGAGAGTCAGCAAGACCAAACCGATACAATTCCAAATATTTCTTTTCGTGCAAATTTTACAACGTTCTCAGTTTTCGTCCTATCAAAACACATCTGAATGCAATCTTGTGAAGAAAAGATTGTTCTACAACGCTATTGAATTTGATTTCATTTATTTTTTTAAATCTAATTTATTTATGTGAGTAGGGCATCCTGATGACAGAGCGTCACAATGAAATCGGTAATATGTGAATTCGAAGGCCGAGTATGTTTCTTCTCACGTTCAAAACCACGAAAACATAGATGAATATAGGGAAAGTCGGACGGAGCCTCTCAAATTTCACATGTTTGATCGAGCTCCACTCTTATATCTTTGTCCCTCAGACTGCCAATTGAGAGCGAATGGAAAGCAACCAATGTAATGCGAATATGGTGTTCTAACAACACTGTTTTAATGCTGAAAATTATACCGTTTCAGCCAAATTGAACAAAAATAGGTCGAATCTGAGTATACTTCGAGCTTTTTGCTTCGCTATACCTTTCTTTCTATATTTTCGTCATCATCGATAGATAGATGTTGAAAACTGAGATATATAGTGCGAGTGTTACATGACACGAAGGCCGATTTTGTGCTGAATGCCAAGCATATGTATACTCAAATCTAATGAAAGAAACCTATTTCTATGGAATTGTGAGATTTAATCCATTTTCCACACTATTTTAATTATTTTTAAGATTACTAATCAATAGAACTTAAAAAATTTGCCTTATGACCCAAATTTCACGTTTTAGAAAGAGTGATTTCACAAAAAGTCAGCGAGACAAAATTTATATATTAAAAAATAAGCGTTAATTTCTGGACTAGAATGGCCATTTTCTTTCGAATGTTATTTATCTTCGGCATAAAAGGTTCAGATTCGTAGAGAACTCAAAATTTTGGTTCAGAAATGATGTTTTCCGCTCAATTTTAGTGAATAGTTATTCTTTGAGTGAGGGTGCCAATAATGATAAACAGGTACGTAGAGTGGTTAGGATTATTTTAGTAATGAAAGAGTTTTGAGAGCTCTGATTATGATATTCGTAATTAGCATCCCTGAATCTACAATCACATATGGTTTTGATCCATGAAGGAAAAAAAATTTTTTTCATGATACCTGTGAAGGGGACCTCAGGCTCAAAAATAGTGAATGTCGCTTTTCAAGGAATGAAGTTGATAAAAGTGATCAGGGATGATTTTGCATTTGATGCACAAGAAACGCTCACCCTCATGAGCGAGAGCGTGAGCGTGAGCTGTACAGCCCTACAATCAGCAAATGAACATAATATAAGTGTTGGCTCTTGTGATAAGATGTACCTTATTTCTATGTTTTAGTCTTATTTTTACTGTTTTAGAGTTTATCACCAATTCTATGATGTAAAGGTACAAATGCAAATACAGATCTTGTTAGAGAAGCTTTGTGTCAAATATGCAACCGTAAAAGTTGCAAGTATTAGAGACGTTCACCATTCGCACAGATACAAAAAGTGGGGACGGAGACAGTTACATCGCGCACGATCTGTTCATACTTTCATGAGAAATATGACTCATACTAAGGCAACCGGCCCGCTTGAAAGTTTTGCAAACAGAACTGGTGCGGAGCGGCCGTCTCATCGGTGCTAGATCATATTATCAGTTAAAATTTTTCCAGTTCAAACTGGAAAGCTAATTCAAAATTAGTGTCGTACGGCAAATGTGTGCCCTTTTAGTGTGAAATAAAAAGTGATAAATAATGGGGCCTGACTGAATGCTCATTCGTAAAAGGGAGTAAAATATTATATTCAAATTCGACTAACGGATGATGCATAAAGAATGACCCTCGAAGTGTTTTTGAAATATCTCTCTCAGTTGTTGATGATTGTATTTGAATTTTTCCAAAAGATAACCCGCAGAATTCTTTACAAAATTCCATAGAGAAAGGCCTTAAAAACATAGCCTGAAAACTACATCTGGTCCGCAGTACAATATATGTATCATTTTGATACCTATATAGGAATGCTAGATAATGCTCTTGTGTAAAACTGAAGCGCTTATCATTTCAAAAAGTCTGATTTTGCCGATAGAACCTGTAGCGTTCAAAATTGTTGGACCCGACCTCAGCTGATTGAAAAGCGATTATAAGCTTTTGATCCACGAATGGAATTTATGTAGATTAGTAGTCTTCCTCTATCTAAAATTGTATAGACTAGTAAGCTTTATTGTGTATCGTTGAAATCTCAATAGAAAGCACCACCTCCATAGGATTCAACAAGAAGCGCAACGAAGTTGATGCATCTTCTTCTAGTACTGTATAAAAATCTCGTTCTGATATCAAAAATTACTAGGAAACTTAAATTCGTCTTTTTCGAACCGTAGTATAGTATTCTCAATGAAATTTTCTAATCAGAAGATATGAAATAATTTTTTATTATATTTGATGATCAATACATCTTACACATTTGTCAAGCAGGAGAGTTCATCGAGTTAAAAAAATTTCAGATACGGATCAATCGACGAACTTTGTCCGTCAAAATTGTTGAAATTAAGATAAATGTATCAGAGAATAGGTTGATATTGGATCTTTTACAAACGATATGATTTTTTATTTAGTACAGTCGTCTTGTCCTAAAATTTTCGCCACTTTCAGCTCCAAAATGATGCTTTTTTTGACCAAAATCCAAGAATTTTCGAAGATACTTCATTGTATCCAATTGCTTTATTTCTGTTTGATAGAGCATGTAAAAATGCAGTATTCAATTTTTTATTATTATATCAAAATGCACTTCTATAAGCAAATGACCATTTTTTGAGTTATTAAACTTTTCATTATTTTCCTTGCATACAACTTAAGAATTCAAAAATAAAAACTTTGATTACGATTTGAACTATTATTGACGTTTGTTTGTTAAACATTTTTCGCAAAGATGATAATGTAATGCTGAAAATTTCGTATGATTTAAATGTACGTGACCCTAAGATCCATTTTTTAGGGCAGATGTAGGTAGGAAGAAAAACACACATATTCGGATTCATATGCAATTGTATCATTTAACTTCGACGAAATAAATAACAAAATATACATGTATATGGCGTAGAAAAATATTCAACAGGTATTATAGTATCTATTTTTCCATATCGACGAAATATCTCTTATTGACCTAGTATTTAGCGTATTAATCTATCAATTAGAATCTGATAAATCAAATACGAACGTATAATCAAATGATTGACAAGTACATTTTATTTTGCTTTTTACGCAGAAAAAAAAACAATCGATTTTACAAGACTTACTTTTTCAAAATAACCTTTCAAACATATCATTGTATATGTAAATTAATAGCTTGGAGAATTGTAATGCTGCTATACTGTTTATGGCAGTTCCCTATTAAAGTTATGATAAAACTATATTGGATTGTTGTTTTTTCTTCATGTTAAACTTTAATCTGTTAAATCTTTATCATCGTTATTAGTAAGAGAATTCTAATATAAACGTTATGTGAGGTTGAAAAAATCATTCCCACATTATTTTTATTTATTTAGGTCATAAATAATTGTAAATAGAAATATATTCATCTTACGAGACAACCTCTCCAGGTATCAAATAGCTATTCAATCGAGACGATGTTCGTTTGATATATAATAGAAACGTCTATAATAGTTTCTTTTTTCCAGGCCTTCGTTCTTGTGATATCGCAATTTTACTCAGTTTTTCAACAGAAAAATAACTTTTATCACATGAAAAATTGATTTTCGAATTTTGACTTCAAACTTTTTACATGAACAATATTCTTAATAAGATTCGTTGATTGTAAAAGTTTTAATTATTCTAATTTCACATGAATAAAATAATTTTTTTCTTCCTTGAATTATTGTATATACATTTATATATCATTATACAGGTAACAGAGTTTACTACGTTTGTATAAATACATTATATTTTATTTATGATATGTTCTATATTTATTTCAAAATAACGCCTTTTGATAATATCGAGAGAATATAAACAGCAATAAAAGAAAATGAAAAATATTCTATTTAACATTCTTCAGTCTAAAAGTGAAGGTGTGCTTAAACGTGTTGTTTCTTTTTGAAAGCCGATAAATTTCACACTTGGTCACCTGCTTGATTATCAATAATTGATAATGATATAGTTTTGAATCGAGACAGCAATCTTACTCACAGTTTTTCTCGTGTGACTATTTGATCTTTGTATGCACACAGTATCAAGCTTGTTATTACGATATACAATAATTCTTAGTACAGTGAGTATATATCTAATATTATATGTATGAAGAGCTCTGACAATCGAGGGAGCACTTTTAGTAAGATTGTCGTCTCAATTCAGAATTGCTTCATGATTAATTATTTTTAATAGACTAGGTGATAATTTGTGAAGTTTATTTCTTTCAAAAAAAAAAATAGACACACTATCAGTCTAAAACTGAAATTTTTGTTAAATAGAATATTTTTCTTCTTTGTAGTGCTGTTTTTGTTCTCTCGATATAATAAAAATGGGTCATTTTGGAATAAATACCAAATAATATGTAAATAGAATATAATAAATGTAATAAACTCTATTACCTTTATAATGACATATAAATGGATATATAATAATTCAAGAAAAACGAATTTATTTTTGTCCGTGATAGGGCATAATGCCAATGTATGAATGAACTTTGCTTTTACATATGAGAAAATGTTGAATATTTCAGAATAGGAAATATAAGAAAAGTTATAACTTACTCAATAAACTAATTCTGTTGAACGTTTTGTTTATGCAAAGTTTTAAGTCGAAAATGAAAAATGATTTGAGAAGGATCACGATTTTTTATTGAAAAAATCGAGTAACATTTGAAAAATCTCGAGAACGATGATTCGAAAAAACCAAACTATTGTAGATTGTTCTTTTACTCATTAAATAAATATCATCTCAATTGAAAAGTGATTTAACACTTGAAGAAGTTCCTTCATCAGATATTAGTCTATATTACAGTATAATGCTCGTTTCTTGTGTTAATTTCATCAGGCAAATTTTTTTTTACAGTAGGTTATTAATATATATTGAACATAGAATAGATCGGATTAGGAATTTTTGCATCCGGATCTGAATAATTAAATATGTCTTAGACTCGTGTTCGAACTGTACTTCTAATTGTAGTTTGAGTCTAATAGGATGTTATTATTAGTTGTTACTTTTCAAGTATGACTTCTTCGCTTGGTTCGAAACTAATCTAATGAACTTTCACTGAATGTTATAACTCTAATATAATTCTTATTATTTTCGATCTATGCCACTAGACTGTTCGTTTATTTTGTTTTTGTTTTGCTTTGATTATAGTTTTTTTTTTTTCTATATATAAAATCATGATCTAAAAAGCTATCAAAGTTAATCATAAAATACAATTTCATTTACATAATAATTTCATATGAATAGATGAATGAAAATGTCCGAATAGGTTTTTTTTTTTTGCATTGAAAATATTCATGCTATACATTTTTATTTCTTTTACTTGCGTATGTTATTATTTTATTTGATAATAATGATAAAAATAAAATCAAAAGTTCATCAAAATGATTAAAGGTTATATTTACATGTAGTATAAAACGTGAAGGTCATGAATCGACTACATAGAAATTATAAGCAGAGAATTGTGTTGATGACTTTTTTTTAGCAACAAAAAAAAAAGAAGAAGAAGAAATTGCAAGTAAGATATTTAATTTCCTCTTGTCTATTCCATATTCTTATTATGATAAAGAAACTCTATCTTAACATACGGCATGCGTCTAATTCGATTTCCTTTTAATGCTTATTCATAGTTTTCTTTTTTTATTATTTGTAAAAGAATAGTCTTCACTCATTCTTTTCTTTTTTTTTGTATGTCTTATTTTAGATGAAAAAGCTTAAAAGGAATCAATAACAGAAAGAGAACCTAAACAAACGATCGCAGGATTGTTATAACAAATCAACACTTTTCAAGTTCCTCTATATCGTCTCACGTTTTTTTCTTCTTGGTTGTTCTTGACAAGTAATGTAAATAAAGAAAAAAAAAAAAAAAACCATGAACAAGAGACAGAAAAAAATGTTGAAGAAAGAACAACGCAATTAGAATGTTTAAAAAAGAAAGGGCAAAATGTCTCTTTAATGTTTTTAAATTTTGATCGAATCGAACACACAATTCATTTTCACATCATCTATACGTACATAGAAAGTCGAGCATTGTGTAAGTGAGAATTATTCTTTTTTTTATTTTTTAGACGTTATGATTTTTATAAGGCTTCAAACTATTCTATAAATCCAACTGTATTTACATCAGATTGAGTAATCTTGTATGATAATCAATTTCGTTTATTTGGAATAATTAAGTGTGATTTACAGTTGAAAAGAAGAAATAATGATGAAGTATACAGATAGATATTTCTATGCTTGATCGACAATTGAGATAACCATCAATATCAACTACGACAAACTGTTAAAATAACATAAAATAAATAACAATATCCTAACACCTATTTTCTTGCCTATCTATAGTATCTTCCTAACAAAACTAACAATAAGAAAAAGTATCATTTTTGCTTTTTATTTCTTTCATGTAAAATACTTCCCAACTAACGTATGCACTTATAATATGCGTAATGTACCATTTTTAATTACTGAGTCATATGTATGATGAAAGAAAGGAAGAAAAAAAACTCACTCAAGCAGAACACAAATTTATACTATGCATATCTCATCAAAGATTCATAAATGAATGTTAAGTAGAACTAAATTCATCGGTGTACATGTTGTACTTTTGTGTTTCTTTTTTTTAAGTGTAAGAAATATGAGAATAAAGTATTAAACATATTGCTAGCGGCATTTTATTTTCTCTCTTTGTTTTTTTTTTTTTTTTGTCTTTTGAAAAAGTGAAGAAAAAAAATCATTTAGCTTTTCTTATAATATTTTGATGTTAGAATAATAATTAGAGCTTTCGAAAGGGAAAGAAACATTAATAGTATTTATATAAAAATGTCTAACCAACGAATAAATGGTAAGTGCTAAATTATCTTTTAATAGACAATATTAAAAAATGTAAAAAAAATTAATTTTTTAATAATAAGACAAATGAAATTTATTTAGAGAATTCTTTCTCTATGTATACACGCGATATGTTCAATATCTATTAATATCTCTTTTTTTATTTTTCATTGACATAAGTAGAATAAAATAAGTGTTTCTAAAAAAAAATATATTTATAAGAAAAATCGTTTATTATTAACATATTTTTTTTTTCCTCTTTTGTTCTTTTCTTTTTGAAATATCTAGTTTGATTTAAGCTTCTATTAATTTGTTAGAAACATTTTACAGAACAATTTTTCTTTTTTTTTTTTCTATAGAAAATCTTCTTTGTGTTCATCATGTCAATTGATTCGACATCAAAATCAATTCATTGTAAAAAAACATTAAAATCTTCATTATCTCAATCAGATAGTTATCCATATTCAAGACATTCATTAAAAGATTGTCATAATCATTCGTTTTCAAAAAGTCGTACTATGTCAATATCAGAAGAAACATCTGGTGATTTGCTTACAGATTTATCATCATTACCATATAATTCATATAAACAACCAAATAATAAATGTAGTAGAAGATTTAGTGAATTAAAACCACCTTTAATACAACAAACTCAAAAAACAAATAATGAACGACGTAATTCAATGCCTCAAATTAATTTAGGGTTTTTACTTCCATATCCTTTTCGTACAAAAAAACATCATCATAAAAATACAATCAAGTAAGTTAGCATTAGTGTGGGTATGAAAAGCAGATGATGATAAATAATGATAAGGATGTCGTTGTTAAAACAACGTCATTTTCATCTGAAAACTAACAATTCTTTCTCCTCGCTTTTTCTCTTATCAGTAACTGAGAGTCAGATGCAGTTGATTATTGTGCATTTGTTACTAACTTATGTGCATGTGTATGTGTGTTTGTGTGCGACCAGACTTTTGCTCATTATTGTCCTTGTTACTACAAAAAAAAAATTTTTAATTTCTAGAGACGATATAAATACAAGTGTTAATACTCTTACTAATACTTATTCAGTACATTACAACGGTATGACGACAATGAAACCCGAACAACCTCTCTCATCAGTAAGTTAAATGTTTTGTCATGCTCGATAGGCACATTTTTTTTTCTTTGTCCTATTTATAACGTAATATCATTTAAGTGGGTTGTATGATATGACGTGTAGGTATATATATATATATATATGAGTGATGAATATAGGATAAAAGTATAGTTCACTTAGACTTGTAACAAAATATGTTAATTACAACAGTTAAATTTGCAGTATCATATCGTCGTAAAAAAATTCATAAGCATTTTGATAAGGTATGTTTTGACTCAAATCATACAATTAATAATAAGAACAATAAACGTTGAATTTTTTTTTTCATCTATGTTTCTTAACAATAAATCAATAACTAGTTATTCGATTTAAATAACAAAAAAATCTCTTTTCATGAAGTGATTTTTTTTTATAAAAAAGATACAATCTTTAATATACACGTCCCGACTCTTTTTTTTTTTCTTTGTTTCTTTTTTCTTATCCTTTCTCAATGCGCATTGTTGATATGAAATAGAAAATAATAAAAAAAAGAAGATTACTTTGTCTATCATGTCATTTGATCCGTACGATTGCTTTCATTGAAAATGTCAATAATACAAAAAATATTCAATGTACAAGAATAACATGTATTCAATGATATATAATAATAAAATTTTCTTTTTTTTTTTTTCGTTTTTCTTTTTTAATTAAATAGAAAGCATTCAATTTATCAACGAATAATTCAGGAACAAATTTATCAATTAGTAATGATCGTTTATCAACATCCCTCTATGAAGATTCAACATCATCAATATCTTCTATGTCATCATTATTTACATTGGATACAAATCAATTTGAACCACGATCAACTGAAACACTTCCATTAAAATTACATACACCATTATGTATTGCAGAGATTTATCGTGAACAGTTTTTTGAATATGTAAGTAAATTTATGATATAAAAAAAAGAAAAACAACATATTTTTCTTTATGAAATTTGTTTAGTTTCATACAAATTATTATGGTGAATTTGAACAAGAAGGTCCATTTGTTGCATCACTTCGATATTTTTATAATAAACCAATTTTATCAGATAATATATCATATTCAATAGACACGACTGCATGTTGTCAAGCTCGAGCTATTATTCGGTATGTTTATCTGACATTGAAATAAATAGATAAACATCGATGCATTGAGTCATTTTATAAATAGACCAACATGACATGATCAAGAGAAAAAAAAAATTGCTAATTTTAACTAATTAAACTTCTATGAAATTAATAAACTATTTGACTTTCAAGTAGAATAATTTAGAATGAAGTTAATAATATAAACATAACTTTCAAAAAAAAAAAAAAAATTCATGAGACTCTTTTAGTTTTATAAATATTTTTATAGGAAATGTGTAAAAAAAAATAAAAGTTTTCAAGTTGTTTGAGATTGAAAACAAAGATTATAATTAGATACTTTATGATTTCAATGTAAATTATCTATAATAAGAACAAAAACAAAGAAGATTCATGAAAGCAATTTTTTGAAAAAGAAAAAGCCTGACATTTATTGATGGCATTAAGAAAAAATTGAATAGTTTTTTAAATCTTTAAATTAGTAATCGGTCGTAGGTGGAAATTAGACTTCAAGTCAACAATTTGATTGATGATAATTAACTATTTTTAATTTTTCCTGACAAGAAATATATAATCAGATTAAATTTATATCGTGCTGAGTTTTCTTTTCTTTTTTTTTGCTAAGATCATTTTTTAGTTCGAAGTAGATAATTAAAATATGTTTGATAAAGTGTCTGATTTTGTCATCAAATTTGTAAAAAGAATAAAAATAACATTAAGAAAAAAATAATAACAAAATGTCGATTCAAGGTTTTATTTATCCAAATTTTAACCTTGATAGAATAATTTAATAATCATTTTCTATACAATCTAGAACATTATTAAATAATTTTTTTATGAAGGTTATTTCAGTACATTTTCATTTATATGTTAAAACAAAAAATCGAACCAACTGTTTGAAATAATGTTCTATATATCTATCTATGCGATAGATGATTTTGACTTTTTTGTGACTGTAATAGAAATGATAAATCTGAATTTTAAAATTAACAAACTTTTGAAACATTATAAAATTTATTTCTTCTTTTTGTTTAGTATTCCAAGTCGTAATTGTGATGTATCTGTAATAGTTGATGGAACAAATGAAGATAATATACTTCAAATATTATTTAATCAAGCACATTTATCAGCAATAAATACATGTAAACCAATTGGTGATCCAAAAGTGAGTAGGTGAGATGTTTATAATTTATATAATATTACTAAATCATATTTTTTTTTTTATTTTAATAATTTATAGGCAAATGAAAAAATATATTTATTCGATAAATTAAATGATGAAAGACAAAATTGTAAAATTGGTCTTATTTATCAATGTTTAGATCAAACAAATGAATATGATATATTTAGTAATGATAAAATAACAGATGATTTAAAAAATTTTTTAAATCAATTAGCTGAATATGTACGTTTAAAAGGTTTTAATAAATATCGTGGTGATCTTGATACAAAAGATGATTTACATGGACAATATTCATATTATACAAAATATAATAATCATGAAATAATGTTTAATATAGCACCAATGATACCATCAACAAAAGCAAATGGACAATGTATTGAACGTAAAGGTCTTGTAGGAAATGCATTTGTTTGTATTGTTTTTCAAGAAAAAGATGCAGAATTTATACCAGATTTTATTTCGGGAAAAGTAACACAAATATATATTACAGTACAACCTTGTACAATTGATGAAAATCTTTATTATAAAGTAAAAAAAAAAAAAAAACAAATTTTCTTTTTTGTTTTTACAAAATATTATTTATTTATAGGTTGGTGTTTGGCATCGTAATGATTTTACATCAACAATTGAACCACCCGGTGGAATATATGAATGTAATGATTCATTTCGTGATTATTTTCTTACATTATTACTTAATTCAATAAATGCTGCTATTGAATCACCAAGTTTATGTTTTCGTGTAGCTGCACAAAGACAACGAATAAAACAAGAAGAACTTAAAAAACTTGTACAACATTTATCTATTGGACAAGTTTTAGATACAACATCTGAAGTTGAAAATCTTAACTCTTCTATAGCTCAACAATCAAGTCCACGAAGTGATAGTACTATCGGTTCAACAATACAATCAACAAATGAAGGTACTACTTCAAATTCTGGTCGTATATCCCCTGTTGTTTCAAAAAAAAGAACTCTATCGAAAATATTCAATGTATTTACTGGTGGTCGATCAGGTTCAGTATCATCCACATCAACATCTTCATCTATACCGTCAAATCTAGCAAACTCTAATACATCACTTCTTAATTCAAGTACACATGAAATAAATACAACACAAGGTCGAGTATCTCAAACATTGCATAAAGACTCTGATAAACGACGAGCATCTGTAGTATGTTTTATCATTTGTTTAAATTTATTCATTATAAATCATTTTATCTTTTATTTTTCTAGAAACTTCGTCAAGCACCAACACCACCAAATCTATCACATTTAACTACTTTACCATCACTAACTATTACATCTGCTCAATCACCACAATCTATTGATTCAAATAATGAAAAGTAAGAAAAACTTATTTTTTCGTTTATAACTATTATTCAGTCAATACAAGAAAGCATTTTGACGATTGTTTTCTTGAATAACTTTATCATGCAAGAGAAAACACTTGGAACCTATCAAAGTAAATTGAAATGTAATTGATCATTTCGGAAGATTTTTAAAAACAAGATTTTGAAGTTATTTTTTTTTTATTAGATTTGAACATCTAATTTAATCAAACAGTAGAAAAAAGTTCTTTCTTTTGATCTACATAAATTTCAACTTCATAGCTGCTCTCTCACTCAAGAGTTATAAGGACTTGCTTGAGATTTCTTCCGATTTCAGCTAATTAACTATGGAAGTAGAGGTGAAATCGATTCAGATTTTCAGGATGAAAATCAAAATTGATTTACGAAACTGCGAACAGAATCGATCTTATATTAGTTCGGAAGGCTTGAAAAGAACTCAACACCTAAATAATTCATCAGGCTGAGTTAAAAGATAATGTTTGCCTTCAATTTCAAAACAAATTCGATTTTTATGCTGTATAGAAAAAGTTTCCAAAAAATTCAAAAATACTGAAATAGTGATCTCAGATCGCTTTGAAATTGAAAACAAACATCATCATTTTATTCAACATAATGAATTACCTATGTTTGAAGTCTTCGATGGTCAATTTACTAGAATCGATGAACTTCAGAAAACCTTTGTAACTTTTGAACGGAAGTGACTATCAAGTTATGGATTACCTCGATCAAAAGAAATGATTTCTGAATTTCATTTTTATAATCTTTACTAAGAACTCACTTGATAGATCAATTGCTAATTAGTCAAATTTCGATCTTTCTCTTCGTCAGTTATTCACAAAAAACAATCATCGGCATTCGTTTTTTTTTCTTCAATGAATAATAATATTTTAATCAAATTCTACAATCATTTAGTTTACTATCACAAAATAATCTTTTAAATCCGGCTACATTGGAAGAAGTCGTACGGAGTCGATCAAATTCAACACCAGGAGATAGTATTAATACAACAAACAAGTAAGTTAATATTTCATTTTTTGTTATTATTAATCATTTGTATCTATGTATATATGCATATAACAATAGAATATTTCAAACTTATGTAATGAGAGCAGTAAAAGAAATATGGTAGATATTAAACCTTTGTTTGTATCTATGTGTGTGTGTGTTTGTGGATTTGAACTTCTCTTTAGCTTAAATATATTAATTATTATTTATATTAAATAATTAAATAAATATTTAATTTTAGAATACATTCATTAAATATATCAAAAATAAATGAAGAAATAGATAATACAAATAGTTCAATAGATGAAGATGATGATGATGAATTAAGTGAAGATGAAAAAATTGAAAATCGTCAAACACTAACTGAACCTCCACTAATATTATCATCAAATATTAATTCATAATTTTTTTGTTTTGTTTTGTTTGTTTGTTTTTACTCACTCTTCTTTTCTTGTTTTCTTTTTTTTGTTTTTTTTTGTTCAATGTTCCGGTGACATCACTTTTCTCAACTCGTGATGATGCTCAATAATAAAATACATATATATATATATATCTTTTAAAATTCAGTTTCTATTCTTGAAATTATCTTTTGATGTTTTATCCTTCGATCTCTTCTTTCTTTCTTTTTTTATTATGAAAAACTAATTATTTGTTGATATTAGTCATCGCACGATGAGGTTTTTTTTCTTTTTGCTTGTGTCTTTCGAAATGTGTGCAATGGGTGTGTCCTATTCTTTCTTTCCATATATATATATATATACATATTATAATTAACAAAGAAAATGAATTCTTATTCACTGTTTATGAAAAACAAAAGTTATAGTTTAATTTATGTTTATATTCTATTTCAATATGAAAAAAAAAAAGAATCTTAAATTAATTTATTTTATTTTTATAAGTATATCTATTTTCAATCATATTCTCGTCGTAACAATGTAGCTCTACATATACGGTAATAGCAAGAACTGGAAAATCCCATCAACGATGAGCAAAAAAAATGGAAAATTCCGTAGAACAACATGAAAGGAAGAAGTATAAAAGGAAATGGAAAAATCCATCATGTATAACAGGCAATGAAAATACATGATACATGACTAACAACAAGAGAAAGGAAAAACATAAGTGTATATGTTTGATTCTATAGCTAAAAGAGCAAAATCCTTATAGCTGTATCTGAACAAAATGCAGGTCATTATAGTCATATTTATTTTCATAGTTTTTAATTAAAAAAACAAACAACACTTTTTTTTGAAAATCAAAACAATTTTAAGGATTTGAGACGAGACTTTCAGCTCAGAATATATAAATACAGTAATTAAACTTTCAAATTTTCGGAAACTTAATTAATTCAGAGTATCTTTCATTAAATTCTCTGCTATCCGGATCCAACGAGCTCTAGATAAGTATGACTGTATCTTATGTGTCACTGATATTGTCAAAAGAACAAAAAACAACTTCGATAATAATTGAAAAAAAACACCTGGAACTTTATCAACACAACCAGGTACGTCGATATAGATAAAAAAAAGAACTAAATATAACCTTGCTAAGTTCGAACAAATCTTTTTCGATTAATAAAGATTTTATTTTGACATGTGAATATAAAATATTGATAGAACTTTTATTTAATTATAAGTAGTAACAAAACAAATAAAACTAAAAAAAAAAAAAAAACATGAGGCAACAACATCATCAATGGAACCTTATTATCACGAAATAATAGCAACACTGTTATTAACACAATCATTAAATAGAAAAAAAAAGAGTGATGGATTTCTTATTAGTTCATTTTTGTTTATTATCTTTTGGACGGTTGGAATGTATTGAGAGGAAATTATGTAATTAACTTGTTAAATAATGTTCAAATACCCATCGTTGTGATGGTTTATTAGGTACACATTGTCTTAATTTAACTTGATCATTATTTGAAAGACCTTCAACATCAAGACAAAGTTTACTTGGAAGATGAACAATTGATCCATTCTTTTAATTATACGAAAAACAAAACGAATTAAATCTTATTTAAAAAACAAACAGATTTATTTTCTCTTACTCTTTCATGTATCCATTTTTGACTTTTATCAGCATAATCACAATTCGATAGAATAACATCCATAGTATCAGAATTATGTCCTGATGTAACTGAACATGTATCTTCACGACGTAATTGATCAGTTTTTGATAATGAAAAATATTGATTTGCTGATACACCATTTTGACATGAGAATATTGATACTGGTATTGAACCTTTTTCATCTTTACCTAATGTATCCAAACATAAACTTGATGAAGGATTTCGAACCTCAAAACAAAAAAAAGAAAAATTTATTTTTTATGCTATTTAATTATTTACTTCTCCATATGCATGAACATTTTCATCAAGAATAAATTTTTCAGGAAATACATTTTCAAGATACCATTTAAATGAATGACAATTTAAACGTTTACGAATTTCTCGACGACTTTCAACATCACCAAAATCTTTACCCTAGAATAATATATTTTTTCTTATTAAAAATATTTTCAT